GGGGGGGGGGATTGAGGAAGGCCAATCAGTAAGTAGGTAGATGAAGATGGTTCAGTGGTGTGAAATCTGGCTCAATTGCTTGCTTAGTGTGAAACAATGTAATTTTACTAGCAGAATTTACTGCTTTGCAGATAAGGCAAATGCTAAGAAAAGCAAAGGGAAACAGAAGAAGAAGGCTGCTGTTAGCGGCGGCAGTCCCCAAGTGGATCATGGGTATTTAGCATGTCAGCATCACAGGGTTATTATCACTGGTTTGGCCTGGATTGAAGGATTTGTTGCAACAGGTACTATTCCATGGCAGTAGTTTGTACATTGTATGTACATGTATGCAATTTAAGACCGTATTGTTTTTGTTTTGTTTTGCTTTTTGAAGACAAAAGCATGTAATGATAAACATAATGCTAATAGGCGTTTATTTATGTTTGACAGAAACAAGTGCCTTAGAATATCCTAATATTTCTGCTAATAGTGTCTAAATATTTTCTTTTTTAGGTGACCCAAAGAAAGGTTTAATAGTTGGTCTGGGTGGTGGAGGACTTGCAATGTTCCTTTATCAGTACTTCAAACAGGTAAAGACAACAAACTACTGTACCTGATAATTTGCCTTTCAAAGAAAACAAGCATTGACCTGCAGTGGTTTGTTTCGCTTTGCACTAAGTTGTGTTGGCCTTGTGATAATGTACTTGTAATGGAGATGACTTAAATTTACCACATTTCTTTGGCTCGTTACGCTCTACTCTCATAAAGAATAGGAGTTTAAGAAAACCATAACGGCAACGGAAACGTTACTGTTATTCTTGGTACATTTCTTTGCCGTTCTCTGTAAAACAACAACGTGAAATCACCAAATTCTGCGTACGGCTAATTTTTAAAATTCTTATTTCGAATTTTACGCTGTGTTCCGGATTCAGAATTGAGACAGTTTTGACGGTGAGAAACAAACTAAATGACTTTAGGGTGTCGCGAGATTTATAGGTAAAATATATATTCATTTTTTAATCGACGTTGTCCTAAGCGTCGCCGCCGTTTTTTACATATCCCCCATCCACACTACGCCGGAAGAATTTGAAAACGGAGGTTTCAGTCTGAAAAAGCATCAAATGTTTTTCGTCCACACTACACTGGAGGAATTTAAAAATGCAACAATCAATGCTCATTTTGGATTAATTTTGTTTTTGAAAAAAAATTCTCGGGCAGAGAAATCACAGGATATTCGTGAGGTCATCGTTTTCAAAAAGCTTCGTTTTCAAAATGTTTTCCGTCCACATGGAAACTAAACGCCGGCGTTTTCAAATTCCTCCGGTTTGAAGAGCGTTTTTGAAAAGCTCCGTTTTCGTGACGGATTAGTGTGGANTTTCCGTCCACATGGAAACTAAACGCCGGCGTTTTCAAATTCCTCCGGTTTGAAGAGCGTTTTTGAAAAGCTCCGTTTTCGTGACGGATTAGTGTGGACTGTAGGCCTAAGCGTAGAAGTAGAGCCGCGTTTTCAAATTCTTCTGGTTTGAAGAGCGTTTTTGAAAAGCTCCGTTTTCATGACGGATTGGTGTGGATGGTAGGCCTAACCGTAGAAATGAAACTGCGTTTTCAACTTCCTCCGGTCTAGTATGGACGGCGCCTTAAACTCCCTATTAGGTCTGAGCTGGAGACTCGGTATGTGTTCACATGCACGTGACTGTGTTGACTTATGTTGACTTAACATTACTTGTGTTAACTTTTATGTTGCAATGATTAACTTGTACGATGACAAGTTTGGGGTGACTTACGTGTATTTCCATTGTCTTGTGTTGATTTGTGTTTTACTCCGTGCTTTTCACTGTCACTGCAAGGAAATATGTATTGTGTTGTGTAAGTCTATAACTTGGCTTATTGTTGCCTTCTTGGAAATAATTCGTTTTCATCTTTCTTAAGCTTTCCATGGAAGTTGTTGAGTTGGATCCATGCATTTCTGAAATTGCCAAAACCTGGTTTGAATTCAAAGAAGATGAGCGAATGAAAATCATCATTGAAGACGGTTTGAAATACATTGAGACCAAAGGTTTGTGTTCTGCATTTTTTGCGTTTAAAATACATGTAAGGTCTTTCTCTCTTTGTTTCTTTATTTCTGTTTTGTTGTCCAGTGGCTCACAGGAGAATTATGGAAAGATTTTAAGCAGATGTGTGCGGTATTTTTGCCGTTTAATGAGGACAAACATGTCAATTGTTTTTCTCTTGCTTTATTTCAGAAAGTGACCATGGTTATGATGTGATTATATTTGACGTGGATTCCAAAGACACCAGTGTAGGAATGAGCAGCCCGCCGAAAGCATTTGTCGACAGAACATTTCTAACTCGGGTCCATTCCCTTCTCTCTCCTTCAGGTCAGTGTGAGAAAAAACGTGAGGTGCGCATGTAAATTAAACATTTTTACAAGGATTTTCCGAGATTCACGACGATTAGCTGTTCTCCATAGCGGTGACGGACTCGTTTGTTGCTGAGGAAAGAATTTTGAATCTACGCGTAGCGTGAATGATACTGTAGGTCATTTCTCAACCCAAAATGTTCTAAGCTCTACCGAACTCGAATACTGAGGTCTTTCTAATCTGAGCATTTTCCTCTGACCTTCTGCTCGACGCTGTTGTCATAATTTGACATTTGATTGTAACGGCATCAGGTTCTCTACTTTATTTGAAAGTGAAGTTTGAAGTTGCTGCTGATCCCTTGTCAAGTAATGGCCTCACAAAAACAAATGTTTGTGTTTTCTATCCAATATGATTAAAAATGTCTGGATACTGTAATTTTACTAATGTACTTGTTATGTCCCCTATTTCAGGTGTTTTCATCCTAAACTTAGTTTGTCGTAACACAGACCTGAGAGATCAAGTTGTGAGTGATCTTTACACCGTGTTCCCTGAGCTCTACAGCATCGGAATTGAAGGAGAAGTCAACGAAATCGTGATCGCTTTGCCACAAAATAGATACCAGTCGGCAACTGAATACAAGAAATCAATTGGCACGCTAAGAGCGCTCTTTCAAAGCTCAGTTGTGAAGTTACAGAAGCTTGCTAAGAGTCAAAGTCATTCTTGGGACCCGACCCTTGATTTGTGCCAACTTGTAGACAACGTTCAAATTTTATAGAAATAAAAGTGAACAGAAACAAAGTCATCGATTTGCATCAGTTTATTATAAAACAAAATTATGTTTAGACGTGTTTATAAATAGACATTAGTCTCATGTTATGTACATTTCACATAAAAAAAGAAATTACAAAAATTACCACACACGTAGGCAAAAGCAAAATAAGGTATAGTGTTATGTTAAGAAAAAGGAAAGTGTCTTCATACATTAATTGCCATCTCACACACCTCTTCAAAATTTAACTAGTTTGAATACCAGTAAAATCTCAGAAGCAGTTGAAAGTTTTTAAGTGTAAATAAGAACGTAAAAGCAATAACGTTATCTGAGTGTTATCAGACAGTTTGTGTCAACTAAAAGTGACTTTACAGATGTGTTAATACAGTATAGTACATTAGATATTTTACAAAAATGTATCATTTTACAATTGCCTTAGAAAGATATCAATATATGCATATTACATATGCACAAACATTTGAGGAAGACAATCATTTTTTAGAAAACTCTTATCCGCCAAACTATTTATCAATGAGATATCAATACAAACAATTAATTGCTATTTACAATGAAGTCACAAAGATAGTTGATTAACTTGAATTTTCACTTGCTTATGGGCCCTATAAAGAAAAAAAAACAGAGATAGGTAAATATAGAGCAGTTGACTATACTAATAATCCTATCGTTATTTTACGAGACAATACGAAAAATTAGCCACTCTCGTTCACGTTCTCCAAAATACACAGAACTTAGTCATTTCACGTTGTTGTTTTGCAGAGGACGGCAAAGAAATGTACAAAGATTTATAACGCACGTGCACAGCTATTGTTCTGCTCATTAAATCTTTTGTCTGGTGACGTTCTCACTGCCGTCGTGGTCGTGGTTTGCTTAAGCTCTCTATAGCTTACTAGAGAGCTTAAGCAAAGAAGAAGTCAGAAGGCTATCAACTACAGTTGGTTCAAACTGAGTCAAGGCTATTGTATGGCAAACACTTACCTTAGAAGCCGAACCATGCAATCGACCTTCTCAGAAATCCTCGCTCTTCTGTAAAGCAATAAACGAGATCGAGTCTCGGCAATATCTCTACGAGTGATACAGAACACATTATATGCTATACCTGATATCGAAAGCAAATCAACAAAATGGGATTTGGAATGAATGTAATTTGTCAATAAGGGAAGCTCGGCTGTAACACTGACTTTACCAAGAGTAAAACAAAAGAATAATAACACTGTGCAAAAGATTGGAATTAGTATTTAAAGTTGAAATTGTTTTGGTTGAGAAGCCAATCAAAACATGGTTGTGATACAAGTCTCGTGGCCGTCCTTTCACTGAAACCTTTACAATATCCTTGAATTTTCTTGGTTTAATATTATATCGCTAATCGTTTTATAGCGCTGTAATCAGAGCTGGTAAAAATGACTTACCAATATGAGGGAAGGGGTTCACATTCTTTCGAACAAAACCTTCGCCTGGCATAGCATTAAAACTTTGAGGATGTAGCATGTATTGCGGTTTGACAGAATGCGGAATACTGGGATAGCCTTTCCCTACAGTGAAACAAAAGACAACTTCGATTAATAACAATAGGAAAAGGTGGGTCGTTTAGAAAACGCATCTACCTCGAGAAAAAAAATGCCTGGTTAGGTATCCGAAAATGGTGGCAGAAGATTATAAAGCTGGCATCATAGATCCCAGTGTGATGACAGTAAATACATCAATTTTTACTGATCCGTACCGTTGGCCGCTCTTTTAAACGGGTTCCCTCCTTCTTCAGGTAAAGGGTGATGCGGTTGCGCTGCTGGGAAAGCATCTTTTTTCCCAAGCTGAATTTCACTTGGGTTGAACAGAGGTACCGCTCCTTTCACCGGTGGCGGGGGCGGTGGTTGAACAGGCTGGATATCTCTCACTGAAAATAAAATAATGTATTCTTCCGTCATAGCGTCCGGTTAAACAGCATAGCCTTGCCTATGCTGAATTATTTACTAAAATAATGCACCCGGCATAATTATACTGTTTCAAAGACAACAACATAGGTTATCCCGCCTTTACTAGAGACCCAAAAACTAAAATTTTAACTGATGGCATTCCGTAACAATACAAGCACGATATAAAAAGATATTTCAGTACGTAGAGAGGTGGCGAATTGTACCTAGAAATAATCTTGGGTCGCGGTAACTTTTGATCCCAACTGAAAACCTCGGAATCCATTAGGATTAGTCACAAAGTCCTGTTTTTGAGTGTATCGTTTGACTTCGGGGTCTAAAGTAAGTCTTGAATATTCAATCAAAGGTCTCGGCATTTTCTCTTTGCCATTCATATATCAGTCCTAAAACATTACCCTGACAAAACAAAGAATGTCTTGTTTGGTTTCAATGATAGCAAATACATCAAGTTAACAATCCCTACCACTGGCTGCCTTTCTAAAAGGATTCCCTCCTTGAGCACTTGAAGACTTCTTCTCCTCTGCTAGGAGAGCATCTTTTTTCTCAAGCTGAATTTCACTTGGGTTGAACAGAGGTACCGCTCCTTTCACCGGTGGCAGGGGTGGTGGTTGGGCAGGCTTGATATCTCTCACTGGAAATAAAATTATATATTCTTCCGTCATAACGTCCGGCGAAACAGCATATGCCTTGTCTATGCTGAATTATTTACTAAAATAATACACCCGGTATAATCATAGTGTTCAAAAGGCCGCTACATAGGTAATCCCGCCTTTACTATGGCTAAAAACTGAAACATAATGTTATTGCCAGCAATGCCAGCACGATAGAAAAAGATCTTTCTGTACGAAAACAGGTGGCCAGTTGTACCTTGAAATACTTTTGGGTCCCCGTAACTTTTGATCTGATCTTGAAACCTCGGAATTCATTGTGATGAGTTACGAAGTCTCGTTTCTGTGTTTCACTTGTCTACGGAATCTAAAATAAGTCGTGAATTTTTAATCAAGGGTCTCGGCACCTGCTAGCCTAAACGGATTTTTATCATTCGTCAATCATAAAACGCATTTACAACATCTCTTACTGATCCTTACGATTGGCTGTTTTTCGAAAAGGATTCCCTCCTTGATCACTTGAAGAATTCGCCTCCTCTGGTGGGGGAGCATCTTTTTTCTCAAGCTGAATCTCACGAGGGTTAAACAGAGGAGCCGGCGCCGCTCCTGTTGATGGTAGTGAGGATAGTACGGGCTTAGTTTTTCTCCCTAAAATATGCAATAAGAAGAAAGAAAATTGCTGTAAATCAACGTTATCCTCGTCGTTGCAGTATGATTACTTAACCTATTGTTATTCTGGATAAAATGAATATACACTAGTGATTGTGTGCCAAGTGGCTCATCAGGCCGAAGCTTATCCCGGTTTCTGTAGCATGAAACGACTTGGAGTATTTCCACTCCCCCCTGGATGGGATGCTGGTCCATCGCAGGGTTACCCACAGCATTAAATTCGCCGGTACCCATTCGGGAGTGATAGTTGTTTATCACGAGTATGACTGATTACAGGCCGAATTGGACGACACGAAGTCTCGGACTAATTAATCATAAAAATTACAATTTCTTGGAAAAGAAGAATAGCCAAGTTATGAAAGAAAGGGAAGATATGTATTCAAAGACTGACAAAGGAGGCGAAAATTGTTTAATGTTGCTCTGAAACTGACCACAATCAAAACGTAATGGCTTGCTGGTTAAGTGTGATTGGTTGATTTAAACTACAACTTTGAATGTGATTGGCTAATTGAACTGTCCGATAACAACTTGCTAATAAACGTGGACAAAGTTAATTATTCTTCCCTCGCAGCGACCGGTCAAAAAGTAAATTCCACGTCTATGCAGAATATCATTTATTATAATAATGTAACCGGCATAACATATAAACTAAACTGTTTAACAGGTCGCTGCACTTTATTAGAACGCAATTGTGATTCCATTAATGTCAGCAAGATAGAAATAGGTAATTCTGTAGAAAACAAGAGGTGGCGAATTGTACCTAGAAATAATCTTGACTCCCCATGAAACTTTTTGTTTTGAACTCGAAATCTCAGTATCCGTTGCGATGAGTCACAAGTCTCTTTTTGCGTTTCATTTGCCCACGAGTCAAAAATCTTTAAGTTTCAGTCTTAAATTTTAGATCAAGGGTCTCAGCATCTATTAGTCTCAGCTGATTTATCATTCGTTCACCCTAAAACCTATTTACGTCGACAAAACAAAGAATGTCTGCTTAGGTATCAATTAAATGATAGCAAATACTGCATGTCTTACTAATCCCTACCATTGGCTGCTTTTCTATAGGGATTCGCTTCTTGTTTATTGGCAGAATTCTTTTGATCTGCTGGGGGAGCATCTTTTTTCCCAAGCTGTATTTCACCCGGGGTAAACAGAGGTATCGGTGAAGGTGGTAGCGGTGGTGGTACCGGTGGCTGTGAGGGCTTGATATTTCTCGCTGAAAAATAAATACAAAATAGATTATTGTGATATTCACAGATAAAAAGGACAACTTCGTTATCAAGACGTCGTCCTTGTCGTTGCATCATGATTGCTTAAACAGCACTATAAATGGTTTTATCTAGATCTAGCGGAAGCTTAAGCTTTGTAACGCGAAATCCGCTTCATTGCTTTCAGCGCTGGAAAAAATAAGTCGAATGAAGATTTCTAGATCGATAACGTAACTTCAACTTTACTTTCAATCAAAGGTCTCAGTCTCAACCCTTAAACTTATTTACCTCGACAAAACAAACAATTTCTGCTTAGGTATCAATGATAGCAAAATAATACAGCATTTCTTACTAATCCCTACCTTTGGCTGTTTTTCTGAACGGATTCCCTTCTTGTTCATAGGCAGAACTCTGTGCTTCTGCTGGGAGAGCATCTTTTGTCCCAAGCTGAATTTCACGCGGGTTAAACAAACGTATTGGTGAAGGTGGTAGCGGTGGTGGTACGGGCTTGTTATCACTCGCTGAAAAATAAACACAAAATATTTTATCGTGATATTCGCAGATAAGAAAGAAATTTCGTTAAAAAGACGCTGTGCTCGTCGTTGCAACATGATTGCTTTAATAAAGGACGTTATTAAAGCTTGCTTACCAATCAAGAAGGCAGTGATAAGCTTTAATAACGTCCGTTTGCCTGCTTAAACGGCACAATTATCGCTCTGGAAAAAATGATTGTTGATGATCTAGAGAAAAACTTGATATACATTTTGATCTTTTCTTTTAAAGGGAAAATGTCCTTCACTCCTCTGAATAAGGAGAAGAAAAGCTTGCTTACCAATCAAGAAGGCAGTGATAAGCTTTAATGACGTCCGTTTGCCTACTTTTCCAGTCCAGTTTAAGCGTACTTAGTGCCATTTATTCTAGTCGCAACTGCTAAACCAATAGAAAGGAAGGGGATAACAAATTCTTCCAAACAAACCCTTCACCTTTGCCGGCGTCCGGCCAAACAGGAGTGCTGCTTCCTGAATTATGTTATAATGTACCAAATATGCTTTACCTCAGAAAAATGCTTAATGTCTTCTTGGAATTTTATGATAGATTGACTAATTCCTACCTTTAGAAGGCAAGTTTCGCTGTGCGGTTGGAGAGGCCGTGCGAGTATCTTCTTTCCCAAACTGAATTTCACTCGGGTTAGACAGAGGAACCGTTGGTGGTGGAACAGACTTGATATCTCTCACTGAAATATACATATCGCGGTTCTGGTTGGTAAAATAGCCTTTAGTGCAAGCGTTATATTAATTTGGAACGGAACACTCGATAGACCCATTTTTCGATGCCGC